TATACTCTTAAGTAGAAGCAAAACCCTTCCAGTAGCAACAGATTAGTTACTCTCCACATATCAGATTACAAATTCGCTTCCCCAATCAGTTATTCAATCTGTTGTTTATTGACTTTCACTCTCCATTTAACTTCTATAGGATTTATGTTTTGTTTCTTTCTTTTATTCTTTCATTTGGTAGTTCGATAAAAATAAAAGTACCTATAATAATATGTCGATGCTGTTTAAGTTTCAATGGATAACCATTCTAACTGAAACAGATTTTGTTTTATTTTTATTTTTTTTTTATAACACGGGACAAACGAGCATGCGGCTCACCTGATGGTAAGTGATTACCGCCGCCCATGAGCACCCGCAACACCAGGGGAATTGCAAGTATGTTGTCGGCCTTTTAAAAAGGAATAAGCTCTTTTCTTGAAGGTTTCAATATCGTATCGGTTCGGAAATATCATTGCTGGAAGGTGATTTTATTTTATTTGTTATCATAAAACAAAATCTGTTTGAATGTTCACTATAATCAGAAAAACTATTGAACGTAATATTATGTGTTTTTCATACATCAATAGACTGATTACTAAGTAAGATTTATGTGTATAATTCGTTGAGGGTTGTGTTCATTTATTGAAATATTTGGGAAAATCAGGGTAGGTTGTTAGATCATTTATAATTTTAATATCTATGAACATAGGCCATTATTATTGTGAGACATACTCGTTCATAACATTAGTAACACAAACACAGACAGACAAAAATGTAACATGTTTTGTCTGTTCGTGTCACTAATCTAACAAAAGACTTCACCGATTTTGGTGTGATTTCCATTATTTCCACACTAATTTATTCTAGTAAACATCATTTAAAATTTTGTGTTTATTCTAATCGGTTTACAAACAAAAAAAAATGAAAAAATATTCCAATTACCACAGTTAAAAGTCGCGGGCTCAGCTAGTCGTCAATATTTTTCCGCATTCCAGTGCGTGTGAATTTATTTGACCGTCCGCTCAGATGGTCGGCATTTTACCGACGGACAACGTAAACAATTTTAATTATAAAAAAGTTATTGTTTTAATTGCTGACCATGGTTACCTGCTACTAAATCCACGGGACTGGCCTATTTGCACATTTTGACGGATATGAAAACATTGTTAATATTTATTACAAATTTACTAAGCCATAAAGGTGAAAAAAATGTCTGCTAATATTAGCACTTACAAACGCACAAACAAACATTTAAAATAGTAACCATCACCGTGTTGGATTTCCTACATTGATAAAATCGCTCAATAATAGTTTTTATGTATCTTCCATGTACAGACAGCGATCAGTTACATTTTTATTACATGTATAGATTTAATTTTATTGACGTTTCTTACTGAAATATTATATGATACATTAGAAACCTTAACATAAAAGGCAGTTACAGTATGCACTGGCCACTGACAAAACGTATTAAACAATTATTATTAAAATGATAGGTCAAGAAATTAATCTTATATTTCACAGACAGAAAACATTACACCTTCGGTCACCTAGGTCAGTTATGATGGTGTTAAGTTAAACTCTTAACAATGCCCTACTTGACCGCTATTCATGTTAACCTTGCTTATCTGTGGAAGTTTATAAACAAGATATCATTGTTGCTAAAAGATTAGAGACTGTCTATAGTAATTCATTAATTCAGTCATTTTTGTCATTTTTTTTATTTGTAATTAATATTAACATTTAATATTTAATAATTTATATTAACATTTAAAAATGCACACTATTTATTTAATTACGAATAAACCGAAATAAGTACTGCCATTTTCGCGTGAAGAGGTATAAAATTGGACAGAGGGACAACAATTCTAAAAATAGTTAATTCGGGTTCAATTACTTGCTTATTTTTAGCATCCCTAGCCAATTTTCGCAGAAAATATATTCCGGATTTCGACCTCTATTTTTTCAACCTTCAATTTTATTTAATACATATTAAAAAAATAAATTATTACATAATAATAAAATTAATATACCAGTTATCCCAGTTAGCGTAGTTAGAGGTAGTCAACTGTAATCAATAGTAGTGTTGGATATATCAATATTTGGTATGGTTTCAGGTCGCTGTTTCCTTCACCGGAAAGTCAGTTGGTAATTACAATTTACACAAAGTTTTTTAGTAGTGGCCAAATTCGATTATCGCAGTCACTATTGGTATACTTAACTGTTATGAATCTGAATTAATCTCGTCTCATAATTAATTCACTATTCAGCCATCAGACCAATATAGTTACTCGTAATATGGAAATGAGCTAATCAAGGATTTCATGAAATCCTTAGAGATATCACAATATCACGGATGATGTCGATTAGGTGTACCGAAGTAATTAAACCGTTCGCTACCGTTTAATAAACTTAGAGGATAATATCAATTAATCTTCATTAAAGGAATGGAACATTAAACATAAAGAGAGGTCGTTATTAATAAAAATATCGGATACCACAAAAAATCAAGTTCAATAGGGACAAAATTTGTATGAAACCGGAATAAATGAATACTTAGAATTAAAAATAGTATTTTCATCGTGATCCAATCTCGTTTCTAGTAAATATGATTGTATTTCGATGTATTGTTAAAAAAGCTTATAGAGTACCTACATTCTTTCTGTTTAAAGTTGGTTAAAATTCAATTTAAATAAATCATTTAATATTGTAAAATATTTTAGTCATGTACGGAGATTACATTTTTTGTACTTGTATTAATATTTTTCACTACCGTTCCAAAAGAGAGACAAATGTCGTTTTGAAAACCAATTCTGCATACTGTGAATTGAAGTAAATATTGTACCTATAACAAACAAAGACATTTCTCACTCTCCTGAGCGATAAAATAAGAAAAAAATGTTACTAGATTATGATTCATGCTCTTGGCTACTTCGCCGTTTGGAATCTATTTTTTGAGCTTCCATTGTAATGTTCAATATACATATTACTACCTATAACTGCGACTTTGTTCATGATCAGTCAATGAACGAAGTCTTCCATGTCGAACTGATAGTGATATTGGAGAAAGTTTCCCCTAAATAGTGACAATGATAAATGCGTTGCAGACAAAATACAAACAGCCTGTTTTCAACAGTAGATTAAAAAGAACAGAAATGATGATTATATTCATGTTGCAATAATTACATCGTTGTGCGCAATAATAGGAAAATATTTGTTTCTGTATAAAAAATACAACATTCTGGATTAAACACCCTAAATATCTAATTTGCTTACCTATGTAAATATTATGTATACTATACATTTAATACTTAACGGATAGCAAGAAGGACGTAATTATTCATTATGTATCTTAGTACCTACTCAATACATAATTGACTATCTTTTCTAGCACAATAATTCTTCTCAAAATTCTTAAGAGACTCAAATTGAGAATATCAATACCGTGGTAGACTTTATAGAAAGTTTGCGTGTTCTTTGTCTCGCCTATTTCTGCCAGCTGAATTTGCCAAATATTGTTTCGGTAGTAGGGTATTAAGCAATACAAAGAAATTACGGGTCACGGAGACATGACTTCGTATTCCTACAGAATTTTTCCGCATGTGAGGCATCACAGGCGGCACATGATAACATGATGGTGGTTGCGCGTCGTCAACTTATTTGTCCATACCAAATATATAAATATATATATAAAAAAGCGATAACTATATTTGAAAACAGTTAACGATAATCTCGGTACGCCGCAAATTTGAGAACGTTTTCTTTGAAGAGAAATATGAGCGTGACTAACCTGAGTCAATAATGCTCGACATTGAAGCAAAAGTAAACGACCTGAAACTTGTTATTATCTATGTAAAACAAAAAGTATATTATTGTAGTTAGGTCTGGTATCTGAATAACACCATACATAAGAAAATTACATCACTAAATTAAAACCGCTTTCTAAAATTGAGCTTGTTATTTTATTGTATAAAATTTATTATCAAATAATTATAAACCACTACAGTATACTACAGTGTACGTTGTTTAATAATAATATTTACAGTAAATCTTTAACCATAAGTTTTAAATTCTTGTTGTCATCTTCTTTCGTTTCAATGGCAAATAAATGAATTTTCCCAAGAATGTTACGTCGACTTTTGCGTATTCTGTCGCATTGTTTAGATTTTTCTTTGTGCACGATTTTGGGCACAAAGGACAGGTCAATATATAGATAGGCCATAGTCTGGGATGGCACTCCGCATTCGCGAGCCTCCCTTGATGCGACACCTTTTCTTGCTGTACCTACCTGTATTACGTAAACACTATGTTCTGGTCGCATCAGATACGATCGTCTCATCCCTTTAAATAGTATACCATCCATACAAATATCTTAGATCAGTTTAGGCTTACTTAACACTCATGAATTAAATAAACCTGCTCAATATTTTTCATAATTATGATGGTACTGGAAATGAAAAAAGTCAGTAGCAGTAGCACAGTAGCAGTCAGTAGTAGTGCTAAACTAATGGTATTGTTTCTAAATAGAGTTAGTTTTGAATATTTTTTACGATGTTGTAATGTTGTACATCATCGTTGTTGTATCGCAAGTCCGACGTTAATATTATGAGGTAGAGCGGCCTCATCCTAATGCATGTTTATGTTTTTTACATACGTAAAATAAAATGAAGTCGCTTTCGCTGTCTATTCGCTTTGATCTTTTAAACTACGCAACGGATTTTAATGCTGTTATTAGGATTAGATAGATTCAAGATGAAGGTTTATATGTAAAATACCTATAGGTACACCCCTACGAAACCGTGGCCGGAAGCTAGATTTTAATAAAGGAGAAAGCTCATGCAATATATGTTTTGTATCTTATTGAAGTAAACTATTTGTATTAAAAACAAGGAAAATGAATATAAAAAAAATAATTTTCTCACTTCGTTGCCGCTGCTTTTTATACATTATACTGGTATCGCCACAAAGATTGCAATAAAGCCAGTTAGCACGTATAACAGCGTAAGTTTATTTATTTTCAGGTGATTCTCAAGTCAGTTATTTATACGCAAGACGCAAATTCAACCTGAACGAAGTGGAATACAGCATTTATGGCACCATCAATATTCTTCTTGGTCTTGTCGGTAAGGATATAAGCACTGTTTTTTCTCGAAATAAGAACTTCAATGAATATATTATTGGGAGATAACTTGATGTCACGTCACACTAAAAAACATAAACCATACAATAATCTTTTTACTGACTGATCAATCTATTTTTATATAACTATGGTAACTACTAGACAAGTAGATATATATAATTTAAGGAAACATTGAGAATAATATACAAGATACATATATCTACAAAAATCCTGCTTTTGGAAGATTGCATATTATTCAAAATAAGTTACATCACAGTTTATCAGCCTAAACATTTTTATTATTACTGCGAAGGTCAATGTGACATTAATTCGTACTTATTAGTGTATTAAAAATTGAACAGATCTTGTGAGATCCATTATAGTAAATTTGATTCTTCATTTTTATCATCAGGGTCATGGATGCGCGTGAGATAAGAATTCATTACTACAATATGTTGTGTCAGTAATCGTATATATGATAATGAAATATTTATCAATCGCTTATACACAATTTGAAGTCTGCCATAAAGAACAGTCTTAAACCACCTTGAAATAGTATTATTATAAGAAATTGTGTGAATATTCTTTTTCAAAATATTAAAAAATCCATTTACATGCTAATAAGGTTTTTTATGAGAGTTAAAATGTCAAACAAGCTTACGTCCCACTTCAAGGAAATTGCATTGTAACCGCGGCTTGTAGAATGTAACATAGCCAGCACCACAGAAATTAAAAAAATATATATATTTTGGTACATTTAAAAATGAAGGTATTCTGCCTGCATACTTAGTAATGTGACTACTATAAAATTTGCTTGTTATTAGTTTTCTAAACGAAACATAGTAGTAGAAGACAAAGGGGAGTTTTCTTCATGTTCGTTCTATGATCTACCAGAGATACCGTTCGCGTGGGACTGTACAACACTCCATGATCATCGATTAAAAACTTAAACGTAAAATGTTCTTCTTGCCGATTTAAGAGTGATCGATATAAACTACTTCTTATAAAATCTCCCTCAGACCTACTTAACATCCTACTTAATATATTGTTTTTTACAGGTACAATCTTCTGCATAACTGTGCTGAGCAGGAAATTTAATGTACAAGACAGCGCTTTAGGCGGACTAGCTGGTGTGAGCAGGATAGCGTCATGTTTCGTGTTTGCATTTGCACCGAACAGACCATGGTACTATTCAGCACCACTATTTAACATTTTCAGTCATACTGGTCTCACTGCTGTCAGGTCTATTGCTTCAAAAAGCGTCCCTACTGAAGAAGTTGGTAAGAGCTATATTTTTATCCTTTTCTTGTAAATTAAATAACAAATATGCTGATGTTACACTACATGATAAGTAGTAGTATCGCCTACATATATGAACAGTAAATAGAACACCACCATGTAATGCCCGTGGTGAATTATGTGTTGCTATTCTGGAGGACTACGACATCATGTCTCTGTAGTTCTATATCCTGTAATTTCACCCAACACCGAACGTTCAACCGAAACACATCTTCACAGACACAAGCAAGATAAAGCAAGTCGCCGCCGATGACTTATACAAAAATACAGTAAAATTATAATTTATATGTCTGGATGTTATTAATCTGTAGTTTTTCTATTTATCTATAAATAAATCTTTTATGACTAACCATTCATAATTCAGAATTATTTGTTAAATTAAGAATATAAATTGTATAAGCCCAGTCAGTTTTATATAGTAAGGTCTCAAATTCATACCAAATAAAAATAAGATTTCTAGAAATACTTTCATAATACGCTAGCTGTAGTTTATTGTACAAATAAGAACACATCACACAGTTCAAGAGTTTATGTTTCAAGCACATTATTATGTCCCAAGAACATTCTCATGTTGAAGTGTCATGCATAATTAATATATATTTAAGGGGGTCTTCCTATGTGATGGGTTGAAAAAATCGATTTTTTTTTTCATAAATTGCTCCCTTAACATGTCTAGAATACGGTAGTAAAGCGATTTTAGAAAATTCGAAGTCGTTTTAAAGATACAGCAGGTAAAAGAAAGAGCGGTTCGGAGCGGTGAGTTGGCAGTTAGATGGCCTATTGTGTACCGTCGGCTTTATACCTGGCCTCCCTTTTATTAATATATTTGTTTATACAAGTTTAGACACGTTTCTACAGACTTAAACAGAAATTTCTATTGTTATAATATTTTACCGAAGTTATTTTAGTCTTGGTTGAACTTCGAAGAGAGCAACAGCTACAAATTATTTTTTTTCATAATGAGTGGACGGAAAGGAAGTACGAGTGGAAATGTTCATCCTGGTCGTAGTAAAAAAAGAAAGTTTAGTGGAAACCGTTTTACCCACCAAAATGATACGGTATTTACATCAGCTTCGGCCAAAAAACTTAAAAATAACATGAACATGAATGTTCCCATCGCTTCGAATTTCGCATATTGCATTTTGGAGTTTGTTTCTGTATTTGCTGCAATCTCTGAAATAGTTATATGTAAAACTTGTAAAAGTGACGTGTCTATTTCGCGATCAAGTTTCCGAGGCCTAGGCTTTAAAATTATTTTATCGTGTGAGTGTGAAAAACAGACAGTTATAAACTCAGGCCCGTTGATCGGAAATGCATTTGAGGTTAATCGTCGGTTTGTATTTGCGATGCGATTATTGGGAGTTGGTCAAGAAGGAGTAAATCTTTTCTGTAGCTTTATGGACATGTGTTCGGGTGTTGCAAATTCTACTTATACTGCACTACTGGAAAACATTCATATTGCTACATCTTCACTGTGTGATACTTTATTGGCATTCGCTGTTACGCAAGAAAAAACTATGAATGAAGAATCAGGAAAACCACAGGATGAATTGATTGTGTCAGGTGACGGTACTTGGAAGAAAAGAGGCTTTTCATCTCTGCTCGGCGTATCTACGTTGATCGGCAAGTACACTGGGAAAGTTTTAGATGTCATGGTCATGAGTAGTTTTTGTGGTGGATGTAATTTGTGGAAAAATAAAAAAAAAACAAATCCTTTAGAATACGAGATGTGGTATGAAACGCATGTAGATGAATGCACCATAAACCATTCCGGAAGTTCCGGTAAAATGGAAATAAGTGCCATCACGAAAATGTTTCTGAGGTCTGTAGAAAAATATGGCGTAAAGTATCTAACATACATTGGCGACGGTGACAGCAAAACTTTCAAGGGCATCCTAGATACTAAACCGTATGGAGATACTGCGGTAACAAAAAAAGAATGTGTGGGTCACGTAGAAAAGAGGATGGGAACACGACTTCGGGCTGTTAAAAAGGATAAAACCAATAAAGGAATAGGAGGAAAAGGAGCAGGTAAACTTACTGATAAAGTTATCCAAGAAATTACAAAATTCTACGGATTAGCAATTCGACGCCATCCAGATTCGCTTGAAGATATGAGAAAGGAAGTTTGGGCAACGTACTATCACAAATGTTCTTCTGATGAAAACCCTCAGCATCAATTTTGTCCAGAAGGCGAAGACAGTTGGTGTAAATGGCGTAAGGCTGAAGCTAATAATGAACTGGACCAATTTCATCACGATAAACCACCTCTAATTCCGCAAGTCCAAGAAGCTATCAAACCGGTTTTCGAAGATTTATCGAAAGACGAATTATTAATTCGTTGTTTAGGAGCAGAGACACAAAACAATAACGAATCTTTGAATTCTTTGATTTGGACTTTCGCTCCTAAACATCTTCATTCTGGTCCCAAAGTTGTTGAAATTGCTAGCTACTTAGCAGTTATTATCTTTAATGAAGGTTTTCAAGGTATTTTAAAGGTTATGTCGATTATGGGATGCCCTGTTGGACGTGAAGCCCAAGCGTATGTTGAGAAACGGGATGAAAAGCGAATCTTACGCTCTGAGCGGCGCGTAAGTGATGTCGTTAAACAAGCCAGGATTGACTCAAGAGCTGAACAATCTGCTTTAAAAGAGTTTCACGAGGAAGAGGAAGGAATACTCTATGGACCAGGCATCGCCGATTGAGAGTAAGTTGATATTTTAATAGTTTTTAACGGACTTGAAACTTTAAACGCGTTTTTCTCAAAACTGTGTTTTTCAAACTTTCCTCCATTGTATCTCAGAAACGGCTGGACCGAATTACTTGAAATTTACAGGGCACACTAAATATATGTAAACGCATGGAATGAACTATTATCAATCGAAAATTTTCAAAACTTCGATTTTTTTATAGCAAAAAACAAAAAAAAAACGCCTAATTTGCAACTTTTATTTCCAATGTCTATCAAAAATCCAATTTTTTTATATTCATTTGATTATAGGTCATTCCGTGCTTTTAAGCCTACAAATTAAAACGCCGTTTTTTTTTTTTTCAGATAAGCCGATCAGCCGGAATCGTGGAGGAAGTGGGAGCTCTTTTTTTCGAGGCGGGGGTGTTCAGAGCGCTGTAACTCTAGTTTGACTGAATATTTTTAGCTGAAATTTTATATTTATACTGTCCAAATATGTGTTAATAAATGATAAAAAACTTGAAGCTCTAAATATTTACTGGTCGTAGAAAAAAAATCCTAAAATATCCCTAAAAAACAGGCCGTCACATAGGAAGACCCCCTTAAGTATAGATTCGAGCGAGAGTTTTTTTGTCTGTATTGTTATCGCAGGCATTTAATTTTTTTTTATAATTTCGTATGTACGTAAGTTCTTGATATTGTGGAGTTAAGTCACTTACTATTCTATCATTGAATGAACATGCCCTTTAAAATGGATGAAATCCCAGATAAAAGGTAGTAAGAATATATTCATTTTAATATTCTTAAATTAAAGTAAAAATCACTATAATTTTATTGTTAAAACCTCAATTGTTTAACAGTTTACCTTTCGGATTTCAGCCAAACTGAATGCTTTAATTGGTGTAATGGAAGCCATAGCGCCTTCAATATATACACCAACATCGAGTTACATTTACGCAGCCACAATACAGAATTTTCCTGGAGCATTTTATTTGTTCGACGCTGCTCTCACTGTGGTAGCTCTAGGATTATTTACGTAAGTACTTTTTTTTTAATTGTTTTGTTTTCAATTCTCTGTACTTACACCGAAAAAAAAATACTTACTACTAACTTACTAGTTATTTTTTACTACAGTTAAACAGCAACGTCGCCCCCATCATAATAATAAGTCAAAGCCTATGTAGGTAAAAATGTTACGCTGATGTTGGACCTGTGAGCAAATTTACTTCGCAGGACTATCAGATCATCTATCATCTAGAATATTCCTACATCATATTCTCATACTTATTTCAAGTTTTGACATTATATTTAGACGTAGATTTTCTTGACACAGTCAATCAGTAAGTGATGAGAGTAATTTCAGTACAGCATACATTAGGTACACCGAAAAAATCTTTGGTTAATAATTTACAATATTTAACATATTATATATAATACTAGCGTTAACTATGAACTCTTATGAACCCTGCAAACTATACAGGGTTCATAAAAATTAACGAGGGGTTTCTTCCAGTCATCCTTTAGAATTATGATTTATGATTCGTTTTGAGGTATATTGTAATGTAGGACAACACCCCACGTATATGTTTTAATGTTAATAAATATTATACGGTATTAGAATACATTTTAATAATAAACATTAATTATTAATAACAACTAAAATAATGGTTACATAGAAAACTAAAGAAATTATTTTATATAGGTATTTATTTATATGTGTACATTAAATCGTCATATAGCTGGGAAATATTCCGTTTGGACGGAAATAGAGTGATCTTCGTATATTATTATTCTCTTTCTTCCGTCTTTATATTACTATTCTCATGTATTTCTTATTAGAATATCTCCCAACTGATACTATAAATACAACCGTTTCCCTAAGGATTTTTAAATAAAAAATTATTTCAGAAATAAGGGCGCGTTATTGTATTTTTTGTTATTTTATTGTATTTTCTATTATTATATTATTTTTAATAATTAGCGCAACCAGCGTATTTGTTACTCCGTTATACCTAATTTTCAGTATACTATTGCTACATTTCACCCACTTTTCACTCAAAGATGCAACATTCTTCCGGATAACGGAATTAAAACCGTCAAAGAGCATTTGTGGAAATATATCAGAGACACTGTAATACTGCGGGAAAGTTTTCTCATACTGAAAATTGGAATAGTAATAAAGCATTTTATGGTCGCATATGTTTCTTTCGGATTAGTTTGTTTTGTTATTGGTATTTCTATAACGAGAGAGTGAATCATAAATGTTAATTAACGTACAAAACCTTTTGTTTGGTGTCCGCCAAATTTAAACACACGACCTTTTTAACGAAATTGAAGTAACAACTATTAGGCTATAACGTTCTTTAGGCCGTTTTATTTTCTTATTTTTAGAATGAACAAATGAACAACATACTAATTGTTATTTTAACGATTTTCAGGTGCATTTATGTGATAGTTAAAAGAAGAATGCGGAATGCAGTTGCAAATCCTAAGAGAAAAGAAGAATTTGCTAGATCTAACGAAGTTTCTCGATTTTAGACTTATTCATATATTTTTTATGCCAAAGCCGTAGTAGTTATAATGGAGAAAAGAGAGAGAGAAAGACGTAGGACTGTAGTATTTAGTTATATTTGAAAATTGTATTAGAATATTATTAGTATTTTTTATTTGGCTTTAAGATAATGCTGTGGTTAGGTTAAGTTTCAGTAGACTATTAACTTTTATCATTAAACACGTAACTTGTAGGCAAGAAATCTAAATTCTGTTACTTCAATGTGGCCATATTACTTATAACAAAGAAGACTGTACCTACAATATTATGAACAATGAAAAGAATAAATGTTTAATTAAAGATATTGTATTGTAAAGTATATTATCTATTTACTTTAATACTAAGTTCAATATTCCATAATCTATTTTCCTATTTACAAATAACACGTCATCTTATAACAATTGTTTATATTTTATCCTTTGTTTATTTATTCCTATCCTTGATTACACATAATTACTTTATCTGTTTGAGATGTGTTGTTCTATAATAATGTATCCATATTAAAAATTCGATAGCGCATCCGTCTCTATGCTTATTTCCTTTTCACAACTAAACTACTCAACGCAGCATAATGAAATTTGACAAGAATGTGTATGTATTGTATATCACAAGGAAAGACATTACCTATTTTTTATCTTAAAAATAAACTGGAAGAATGTGAAATTAGGGATGAAAAGAAAATTTTGTGACACAAAGTAGCGGTTAACTGCTGTCTATACCTAGTGATAAAAAAATACGATATTCAAATCACTAATAAAATGTATTTATGCTATCTTTTCTATACATTGATTCATAGAAACTATTAATACAAACGAAACTTAATCTTTTACATACCTAATATGAACATAGAATATGCATTAGATTTAATTCGTACTAATAAATGAAACGAAATGAAATCAAAAATAATAAGTAAATTAGGGTTTTAATTTTTATATTTATTCTTACTTCGAAAACCATTAGCATTCAATTAATAATATTCCAATTAATAAAAATTTCAATTTTAATATTAACTTTGGCTCAATACGTTATACTGATCTAAAAAAAAATTAAGAAAAGGAAAGGAAAGTTTTTAAATACATACTATGTCAAAATAAAACAACATCGTGTTATTATACATTGACGCCTACGAAAGTCTTAAGATCTCCGCAGTCAAAATTATAATTTGTTATGTTGTAGGCGCTAAGAAACATACTCTGCAAAATAATTCACGTATAACTTTTTAATATAACATTACTTTCAAGTACAGTTACAGAAAATTGGTAAAAAAATATTCTAAAAACAAAAACACATTTGATTGTGATCATAAAGTATATTATTTATATTACAAGTTAGATTGAAGCACAGATTAAACATAAGTGAGAAGGTGGTACAGAAACTTCTTTACTCTGACTTTTGATTAAAAATATCAAAATCGATTCAGTAGGGAATGCGAAATGTTTCAAATGGCATTTCTTTATCGTGGTTCATTAAAACCCGAATATCACAAATAGAATTTTTCAGAAACTTTAATCAAAATATTATATATATACGAGTATAACGTAAACATTCGGTAATACATATAGCCATATCATCAACTCTACAAAATTTCTACTAAATAACAATTTTACTATTAAATGGTAATACATATTTTTTTTATATACATCGCATAATACATTATACTCTTGTATATTTTGTATTTCAGTTACGAATTTTGGTTGTAATTATAACATTACCTTTTTTTTGTATGACTAATAATTTTACTGTTCTCAACCTTCGATTCAAACACAGTTCACTTACAAACTTCTAAGCAATATAAATACGTGAGAAATGGGTACTCAAGCAGAAGACTTTGTCAGAGTCTATCTTAGTAGTCTATATTTATAAAACACTAGCAAACCGTTTTTAAATATTGTTCATTTCAGCTACGCTTCTTACATTCTTGGTACAGCCTCTAGCCTTCCTCGATAAATAATATCCGATTCTAAAAGAATTTAGAAAATCGGATGTGTAGTACCACAGATTACTCCGAACATCCAAAGTCATTAGCTTTACCTCTTTATAATATTAATATAGTCTACTTCCTAAGTGAAAATGTGATTGTGATGTGGAAGTATCGGTAAAATTACTAATAAATATGTATGTATTATATTTGTCAGATTATTGTTCTTTTGGCACTTATAGCTTGGAGCTGAGAGATTTGAAATTGCATTTCCGTTCAATTTAGTATATCCATTAGTACTTTTTCCCTTTATCCCTCTTGTGAAAGCGGAAGCCACAGAGTAATAAATAATAAAAAATAATAATGTTTACCATTTTTTAGAATTGTATTAATTAAAATCCATTAACTACATTTTTTTTTAATTATCAATGTTTTATAAATTACCAACATATTTTAGAATATATATATATATTGTAATTTCAGCTTTCAAATACAGAGAGTTTATAATCATATTAAACAAGAAATGATTTCTTGATATTCCCAAGAGCACTGAACATGAGAAAGCTACGGGAATTAGCTAGAAATGTATATAAATATTCCAGCTAAGATATTATACATATTGTAATGAAACAAATTAGAAACTATAATGTGAATATTTTTAGACTTAGTTTCATCAAATAAATCTTTGAACATGGAAATAGTCTTAATAACAAAGATCAAATGTAACTATGATTTAGTGATTTTTGTTTAAATATATTTGAAAATGTAAAAGAACGTAATTGAATATGTATATCTGGCGTCTAATTCTAGTCATTTTTTTCAATTTTTCATCTATAGTATATGACAGTAGTTCTTTTAATTAAAAGAAATATAGAGACTGATAGAGATTATATCCTTATCCTTGGCTGAATTTCCATTTGTATACAATTTTATTGGCTGAAAACCTGGACATTTTAAATTCGCTTAAATTTATTTTAATAAAGATTATCACTATTGACTGTTATTGAGTATCTAGTATATATTTATTTTATATATATATGTGTATATAATTATTTGTATATATGTATAATATAATATTTGCATATATTTATGTAATTTATGATTGTATTCCTTAGATATATATTGTATTTATCATTCTGTTTATATTTTGTTGCTTTTTATTTATCATTTATTATATTTGCACCGCCAACATTTATTCTCTGCACCACCAATGGTCGACTGGTAGAAAATGCCGCATGGTGTTAAGTCCGCCAAATGTACTTTACTATATTTTGTATATTGTGTGCATTGAAGTTAAATAAATAAATAAAATAAACTATTCTATTATAAACATTAATTTTTATGCTACTGGTTTTTATTCTGTATTTTGCTTGAACAGAAACGGAAACCGTTAGAAATATCGTTACGTCCCCGGCTGAATTTCGTTTTCGCACAATGTTAAGTATAAAGGGGAAGGCAACATGTTCCAACAAATTATATTTTCACACATAAATTTTTTCTTTCGGAATCCTCGGAGTAAATATTTATTAATACCGGAAGACGTACCCTCCGATTTAAATCCCCTTAGGAAAAATAAGCCTTTTGAACCCGTGTTGGCCTTTTGTACTTTACCTTTACCTACCTTTACAAATACTGTATTCTGTTATATGTATATTACGAAAATGTATAATATAATAAAACAGAATCGCTTATATTAAATGAGAAGTGAACTAAAATTTATATGAACATATTCTCAGTTAGTTAACATACTTTTCGTAACAAAACGAATTAACATTAACATCTGTTACATATAAAAAAATGTAACAGACTGATATCTGTATATTATAGACATTAAAATTGTACCTAAGAATGACAGCTTAGAATACATATATTATAAATGTATATTTCAAATTATTATAATTAATATTTTTTAACAACATACACAGTATCTACAAAGAAATGCACCGTAACATAGTTATACATTGTAATATACATTACAGTAAAAATGAACATAAGTTTATTACATTGTTAAGATAACAAGCAATATAAATTTTAAAATAAATAAAAAGCAATCACAACGAGTGATTAACTTTGTTTAATACCGCAGAAGCTTCCACTTTGTTACTTGAATTGAAAAATTGAAAGAGTAAGTTTATTACTGAGTAGCGGTATACACTATTTGCTTTTGAAATATGCATTTAAATCTTTATTTTTCTATTCTTTATTTTCGATGTATTATCTATGTATGTCTAAAGTAATATCGCACAGAGAATAGATTTATAATTTGTAATAAGTAAATAATCATAAGACATAATTAATTTATATTTTAAATTTTTGTGGAAATATATACACTGCTATTAAAAGCATGACTTCTTAAAAAATATATAATCTTATAAAAATTACAGACGTATGAAGTCAGAGTAAATTGGTAGTGGGCAATAAGACTACTAGTTTCTTTACAATAAATTACAAACACTATTTCAATTACTAAACATACGAATTAATAGATAGAAAATTATCTTAACAATCTAATTTTATAAGAGTCATTATACCAAAGTTTTAAATTTTAATCATAGTTTCTTTCCAAGAAAATTGTGTTCACTTGTGATATATTTGACATTTATTTTTCTGACGTTTCATCTAATACATATTTACACGTTGATGTCCAATAAGAGAAAAATAAAGGCATACTTTGTATATAGATAAATTGCCACTTAACTTAAACTCAACTATCAAACAAATAAGATGAATGAAAATTAAACCTGTGCAAAAAATTTTAAGTAATATCAATAATATCGAAACTCTATGTTTATGATTAAATATTATTTTTTCTTATTTGCAAATAATTCACCCACTGTGGCACGACATCCGGCTGTTGTAGCCATGTGGTGGATGCAATATCCGAGATCCAACTTAGTTATAGTATCGACTCGTAACTTAACACAGTTGCTAAGTTACTTACGCACGCTGTCTTATTCACATCCATTTCAGTACGTATATACAGATGTATAGGACAATGTGATGATTAATTTACATATATTCACACAAAAAACAATGATTGCAATCATACGCGACACATCGAGGCAGTGTACTCAAGATACTAGCAATGTTACCTCTTTAAATAGCCATATTTACCTTCTGTGCAAAGTAGCTATCAGCTCTCGGGTCAAAAGTAACCTCAATGAACCGCGCTGAAATATTCGCCAAAAACAATTTAGCTTTTGATCTCCATGGGCCTAATGTCTCCATATTGTTGCACATTTATCATGCAAGAGAAACCATGGTGTCCAAACACATCAACTGTAAGTAGTACCACAGTTACAGCCATGGGGGTAATAATAATGCGGCACTATTATCTTAAGATTATTTTAACAGTCAATCGTAAACCCACCAGTGTAAGATAACAATAATCTAGAAGCATACTACGAGCACAACAGTACGATCTCACTCTCTTTCTGCTAGCGAGGTAGAAGAGCACTAAATACAG